GCATCCTGCTAACACACTCCATCTATCAGGTTAAGTAAAGTTCCTGCAGCAGCTGGTGGTGAACAAACAGACAGGCAAAGGCTGGAGTCTGGAGGCGAATACGTTTTGTCTGGTTATTGCTTCTGTGAAGCTCTGTGATCAGAAGGAGGACATTAGTTAGAAGGAAGCTCCTGTGTTCCTCTATTGATTTTCCCCCAGGACACACAGGATGAGAAGCCGTCCTAATTGGAGTTTCTTAGCTGAGACTCTTGATGAGTTATTCATTCTCACACTTCACCACCTTTACTCTGTGATTCTTATTCAAGTCATTTTTATAAGGCTTCAGTCATCCGTGTTGTTCACCTCTGATAATATCAGAGAGCTGTTTTATAAACCTAAAAAGCTGAAATAAATGTTTTATATTAGATTTTTTTCATTTATTTTAATGTTGTTCTCAATAAGTTTTACATTTTATTCTATTTCCAGGTTTAACTCATGTAAAATGTTGATGGTTTCAAAATCGCAAATTTATCCTCACAAAAATTTTACTAGAAGACAAAATAAAACTAATATCTAAAATTAAGAACTTGTATGATGCAGGAATTAAAAAGTAAGTAATAAAGCATCCAGATGGAGCAACGGGATTATTACCTTTATCAGAAACCTGCCACGCCCAGTCCTATACATGTATACTGCCCCCTGGTGGAGGATCCACAGGTGGCAAGGACCAATTTTATTTCTTTATCAAAGTTCCATTGTCATAGAATTACATTAGATAATGAAACTGATTTATTACATTCTGACTATCATTTTAAAAGTGTCTTAGTTTAAAGCTGTTTTCCGGAGTTTTCCCCTTTCAGAAATGATGTATGATTTTTCAGAAATCCGTAAAAGTGATTGTCTCATCATGTACTGTGATAAAATGTAAGCGATACATCTTTTTTTAATTTGAAATTTTTTTCTAACCATGCCCCCTGCCCTGCAGAGCTCTGTGCAATAGGAAACTGAGCGCCGACCAGAACTAACCAATAGCGTTCGACAACCGCTTACTTGCTTCAAATTTAAGGAATACCTCGGCTGATGCAGAGTTGATGAACATTTCACGGACAAGTAAGTCTCTAAAATATAAATATATGAAAACACAACAAGCCATGAGAATAATACTAGTAAAACAACGTGTTTTAGCTCGGTTTGTTGGCTACAGAAGCACATTTATAAACAGAAACGTGAAGTCGCAGTCTTAAACAGAGCAACTGATTTTTTTGTGTGATATTCTTGTCAGCCACTAGATGGTGGCATCGGATAAGAGAAATAATCCGGAAAGAAGCTTTAAGACAGCTATTTGGAGAAAAATGCTTCCTCTTGTCTTTTGTGCACCAGAGAATTCAGGCCTAAAAAGATAAAAAAAAAAAAAATCTAGAAATGAAAAATCATTAAAGGAATAATAGTTGTATTGGTTCTGAAACTCCATCACAATCATCATCACTCAGTGAGACTGTGCTTGCGTCTTTATTCTGGGCCCTAAACTCAGTATTAGGTAGGAAATCAAAAACAATGTGGGTCAAGTTTGAGTAATACAGTACTAGACGCAGGCTCTACTCCAAGCCCCTCCAGTATCTTCGAGCTCTCCACCTCTTAGCAGTTATTCAGGGGCTGGGTGGGTGTGGCCACCTCCAGCTTGTTTTCTTAAAGTGACAAAGCCCTGAAACAACTCATTCTGGAAGGTACTGAAAATGTCAAGAATAAAACTACTGAGGTCACTTCATGTGAGACCAGAGAACTATCATAACTGGTGTCAAAATAAGTCTGATCTGATTATTATTCGAGTAATACGAGACATTCTAAACACCTGTTGAAGCTCAACTATTTTCAGATGCTAATTTTCTTTTAACTTCCATCTTGATTCTGAATGAAACAATGAAATCTCAGATTCTGCCTTCTCTGATGATCTGTCCCAGATTAAAAGACAGCACATTCCCACTTCACAACAATATAAATGATTACGCGCTCGCAGTCGAATCTTCTCCCAGCTTCATACATGGAACCACCTGTTGCACTGTTTGATGCCTTAAAGAAGAATCAGGAGAAAAGACGAAGACGTAACTACAGATGAGGAGGAAAAAACGTAACTGTAATTAATATTCGTTTTGTAATTCTTAATGAATACGGCGCTGAAACCATAATAAGCTGAGGGTGCTTTGCATATCAATTTCAGGCAGTTATTCCAGATAATGAGGATGAAGTGCAGCATTTGTCAATCTGAAATGGCATCGTGCGGATCACTCGGGTGAAACAGGTTTTGATTGGATCTCCTGGAACACTGGTGAAGGTTTGGCATCATTCCTGTTTGCTGTTTCCGAGGAAGACTTGAAATCCGTTTAACTGTAACAGTATTACCATTCAGTTCAGTTCCTACTGCAGGAGCTCTCCCTATTGGCATGTGAGGCCATCGGCACCAGGGTGGTCAGTCAGAGAGAGAGAGAGAGGGAGAGAGAGGGAGAGAGAGATATATAGATAGAGATAGATAGATAGATAGAGAGAGAGAGAGAGAGAGAGAGAGAAGAGAGAGAGAGAGAGAGAGAGAGAGAGAGAGAGAGAGAGAGAGAGAGAGAGAGAGAGAGAGAGAGAGAGAGAGAGAGAGAGAGAGAGAGAGAGAGAGAGAGAGAGAGAGAGAGAGAGAGAGAGAGAGAGAGAGAGAGATTTTGGAAGGACAAAAGTCTCCTTTCACACATGGACAACCACAAGCCACAAAAAGTCTACATTCAATTACAGAGATAGCATCTTCACACTCAGACACACAAAACCAAAATCGAACACTTGGAAATGACAGACGCCTTTGGCTGCAGGTGCAAAACATGAATACACACACACACACACACACACACACACACACACACACACACATGCAAGCACACACGCACACACACACCTGTACTGATGAAAGAACACAAAATGGCTGCTAATATTTTTTTCTCGCGACAGAAATAAATTTTGAACTTGGAACTTGTTGAGGAGAGACGCTAATCGCTCTTCAGATAAAGACTTGTTTGGTCCTGATAAGATAAGCAGACACAACACGAGTCCCCATGAAGTCCGATTAGTGAGATTTCTCTTCTGGATTGTTGGAAGGCAGGTTGGCTTTGAAGCAAGGGGGTCATTATTTTAATAGAAGTTGAACTGAAGCAGTTTTTCAGTTTTGTTTTTTCTTTTATAAGTAAGAATCCAACACCAGCCCAGCCCGACCGGCTGTACACGTCAGCACAGAAACAGAACCAGTCTGGATTTAAAAACCCAGCATTAATGACCTAAAGAGGACCAAAGTGACTAGATACTTGATAAATCCTTCTCTCCAACCACATACATGTGCACCAAACACAATAAGCTCCACCAAGCACCAGGTCTCCTTCATGCTGCTGCTCCCAGTTATTATTGTAGCTACATTTTCTCCTCTGCTTTGTTATTTTCATGATATTCAGCAAGAACCTTCAGAGTTATTTCAGAATTTCTGCAGCAGTTTCAATGGCACCTCTGTGATGAATGCGTTAACAGTTTTTTTTTTGTTAGCCATTAAGTATAAGCCAGATTTTTTTTGTTTCTTTACAGGAAATGAGCCTGGATATAAGTTTTTGTTGGATTACATTTCAAAATGTTGGTAACACTTTAGTTTAGGGAACACAAATTAATCATTATTTAGCTGCCAATTAATATGCATGTTAGTGGACTACTAAGTCTGAACTAGTCATTACTAAGCACTTATTAACAGCTTATTACTAATGCCATAATATAACATTAACAGGCCATAAATTGAGTTTTATCAAAATAAGCCATTCATAGTGGTTTGTTAACTGAAAATAAACAGCTTGTTGCTAATTAACACACATACTAAGTAGTAGAGGTGTGACCAAGTCACTGCTTTGCAAGTCACAAGTAAGTCACAAGTCTTTCCAGTCAAGTCATACAAATTATAGACCAGTGTCGGTACTCTGCCAGTTTTCTAAGATACTGGAAATACTATTTCTAAAAAGACTTGATAACTTTGTGGATAAACGTGATCTGTTGGCAAATTGCCAGTGTGGGTTTAGAAATAACAGATCAACAGTTTTGGCATTGATGGATTTAATGGAAGAAATAACTGAATGTATGGATAACAAAAAGTATGCACTTGGAGTTTTTCTAGATCTAAAAAAAGCATTTGATACTGTTGACCACAACATCAGCATCTCGCCTCTGATTGGCTAACAACAATGCGACTCTACCACTGATTTAGTTTGCTCTGTTGATGTTTTATCTCCACAAATAACACAAGCCTGAAGAAGTTCTGCTGTGTGGTGGAGTTGCTAATGCTAACGGTTAGCTTCTACTAGCCGAGACGCTCTCCTGTGTTTTCTGTACGCTAAACCAACTACGGCCTTCCCCGTTGTGAGTCGAGATGGGTGAGTCAATGAATGTTAGGTGGCAGTGTGACGTAGATCCGTCAGGATTTTCAAGTCCTAGAGTTTCACCCTCTATTTTCTATCAGAAGCTAATGCAGGAGATAGGTGTAGGAGACTATTTTCGTGATTAGCATGCATGAAAAAGTCAGAGTGACTGATTGTAATCAGGAATAATCATTAAAAATTTATTTTTCAGTGAAGTTTATCTTCAAGTGTTTTGCCCAAGGACACAAAAACTGTGACAGACAGGACTCCAACCTGCAACCACCTGCTTGCGTGGTGGGTACTTTACTCCTCTGTCACTGATTACCTGCCACTTAAAACCAGGTAAGGTGAAACTTCTGAACATGAATAGGCAGGACGGTGGCCCTGGAGGTCCAGTATTGGACACTTGCTTTCCAATAACGATGAAGCTCGTCACAGTAGAAGATCAAGTCATTTCGAACGTTGTATCTTAAATAATGGAAGTCAGGAGGTCAGAAAAACAAAATTCACCTCAGGTGTAACCTCATGCATGATTTAGATGTACCATGTGCCCGTATCAGAGACTGTAACATCTGTGACAAAGAGGCAAATCGTTCCACTCACATCAATGATGGTCCACTGCTCCACTACGATAGCGTCATATGTCGCTGTCACCACGGTCGGCTCAGCCTCGCTCGCCTCTTGGAAGACAAAAACACTTTCCACCGATTTGGGCAACAAATCTGCAAAGAAGGGAAAATAGATTTTAAAAACCCAGCCTTGAACAGACCATCAGCAGGATGGAGCGTGTGTGAGTTGTCTGTCTTCCTCCTGACCAGAACAAATGAAACAATGTCACTCAGCCACATTCACACTAAACCCAGGAGCAGCCAGGAGTGCAGACCATTTGTATGACCCATGCATAATGCAAAGAGACCGTGTAAACGATAGAAGCGTGTCTTTTGGGATGTTAAAACAGAAAAGGCAGACAGATTGTGCTTCTCGTGATCCAAAGCTGCGCCGGTTTTTGTGCTTGACAGCTTCTCAGAGGCTAATTACAGCTCAGGATCAAGGTGAATGTTCGAGCAGATTTTAAAGCCGCACCTCTTTGTGCCCCGAGGATCAGCGGTAATTACAACTGTTTCTCTAAAAGATTAGATTGATTTAAATGCAGCTACAGATTTGATGAAGTCAGTTTTATGAGAGATGGACCATAAATCATTTTACTAGGAGTGGGCCACATGGAGACACGGATTCTTCCACCAAAACGGGTTTTCCAACCTTCTCCTTTTCCAATCACAAGATTGGCCATAGAGAGAAGGACCTGGTGGCCCGTCCTTTGTTATTCATGTGATGCACAGGCTCGCTCGCTCACACACACACACACACACGCACGCACGCACGCACGCACGCACGCACGCACGCACGCACGCACGCACGCACACACACACACACACACACACACACACACACACCAAGGTCCAGTCCACCCAGCTGGCCTGAGTGCTTTCTCATTACAGCTACACCATTTACACACTAATACAGTTTGCCGGGGCCCAGGCACCAATACAACACACTCCACATTTCATTACCGGGCCTTAATAATAGAGGGACGAGAGGTGGCTGGAAGAAAGGGGGGGAGGATGACAGGGTCTTTTATTTCCCCCTCCCTGAAAACCCATTTAGGACCCGTGCACGCTCAATTGAAGACATCTCTCACATGTCCACCGGCTCCCTCAAATACAGACATTGTCAGTGTTCGCCACATCCTGCCCCTTCTCCCTCCTCTTCTCTTCACTTCTAGATCATTCGTCAGCCTTCCCTGCCTGGCAGATTTAGTAAAGCAACCGTTTTTTAAGGTGTCAGCTGATGAGGCCTAGAGTTGGTTCCCTGCCAGGCCAACGTGGATCACTCAGGTGAGATCAACACCAGGTTTCTGTCAGCGCTCTGCAGGAGTCAGCATGTCTTTGGTGACAACGCAGAGAGACTCTGAGCAGAGGAGGGAAGGAAGTGGAAGAGAGGAAGCTGCTTGGCTCAGGGCGTTGAGTCTGTCAGGGGAATGCGGCGGCTGCGCGCACGAATAAACATTATCCCGCACCTGTTGACTGTGAGCTGAGCTGAGCAGCCAGTGGGCCAGCTGAGAATAAGCTGTTTACACTTGCAAAAACCCCCGTGTGCTCTTGGTAAAACTGCTCTACATCCCTCGTGACTTACACGCTCAAGGTCGCGGGGCGAGGCGTGAGGGCGCACCGAAAACGGAGTGACACCACTGGGGTGGAGAGACGCAGGCGAGAGCGGTGGTGAAAGTCAGGGAGCTGCAGTGGCGATAAGAGACACTCAGGAGAGAATCAACCACACACACACACACACACACACACACACACACACACACACACACACACACACAAGCACGCACGCACACACACACACACAAACACACACACACACACACACACACACACGCGCGCACACACACACACACACACACACGTTCAAATCCAAAATACTTCCACTGTCAAAGCTAACTCAGTTTAGAGGATTAGAAAGAGATTTTATCGCAGGGAGCTTAGCTTTGTGTGGCTGCTGACTCCTTTCAATTTGACATTTTTGGTTGTTGCCCTAAAAAGTTAGGACACCTTTGATATAAATCTGTTTAATCCCAGAATGAAAATGACAAAACAGGCAGAATGAGTGACTATGAATGAAAATATAATGTTTAAGAGTGTTGGGGGGTTTCTTATTGAGCCAGATTATAGTTGAAAATATAAGGACAATGCTAAACTGTCTGAATACAAAAAAAAACCCAACACATGTGGTTATTAATGCAGCAGCAATGAGCAACGTCAATGAAAAAAAACTTGTATAGATTTCTATAACTTTAATAGCAGTTTTATAACTTTTCATAGGAATTCTTAAATTCCAAACTTTTCATGAATTCAGCTTTTGGTGTGTGTGTGTGTGTGTGTGTGTGTGTGTGTGTGTGTGTGTGTGTGTGTGTGTGTGTGTGTGTGTGTGTGTGTGTGTGTGTGTGTGTGTGTGTGTGTGTGTGTGTGTACCGGTCTATACATAAAAGTGAGGACCAAAACAAGTTTTTTACCTGCAAACTGGACACTGGTAGCAAAGTGAGGACATTTTGCTGGTCCTCACTTTGGGACAATGTGACAGAGCTCTACTTAATATTTTTAGAGGTATGGTGTGAATTAAGTTTTAGTTAAGGTTAGGGTTAGGAGTAGACTGGTTATGGTTAGAGGTGGGGATAGGGTTAGGCACGATCCAGTCACTGAAACGAGTGGAAGTCAATGACGGTGTGTGAGTGGGGGGCAAAAAAATCCTCGAGTGGTGGTGCGTAGGTCATAAATCCAAATTTTACTCCCATCATTGAAAAAATAGTCACTAGATCTCATTGGGTTCTGCCTCGTCTCTGTGAAAATGCCTTACAAAGATTAGACCGATATCTACGGCAGGAGACTCAGCACGATTCACATCAATGGTGACCAGCTGATGTGAAGGTCAAGCAGCAACAGGGAATAGAACAATTCCAGCAGCCTTCCTGGCCCGTTCCCTGAAAAGGTCAACCCAATAAAATGTAGTGGTCTGTTGTTGCTTAATGAGATGAAACTACCTATGAATACCCCTCTTCCTTTACCCCCAATGAGTCATTGACGTCGTTAGCCCCTATTGTGTTTGAATGGTTGTTTTAATTAGAAGATGGAGAGTGTGACCTAGACTGAAAGTGTTTTAGGATTAGGTTTTAGAGCTCAGTCTAGGTCACACCTTCAAAGGTAGTCTCAGCTCGTTAAGCAACAACAGACAGCTACAGCTTGACTCCCATGTTCCAGTCGAAATTGACAAAGCTCCTCGGATGAGAAGCTAAACGTCTTCAAGAAATCAAAGAAGTCCAGGTACCTTCTTTTTTTGTGAGTACCATGGCCCAAATGACTGAGAACCTTCAACAGCATCAGTGCATCTCTATCCTCCCTTCACACTTTAACCACAAGAAAACATGGAAAAAAACATGAGCATGTTTCAATAAAAAAAATCATTATTACATTAACTTTCATTATGTCCTAACAAAACATTAGAGCCCTTTCAGCCCCAAATCAACAGCAAATACACAAAAGAAAACTTTTCATTGTTTTTTTAGTCAGAGTTAAAATCACCCTTTAATGAATTCCTTCCGTGTCCTCACTGTCCCTTCACTTTTTGCCAAAGAGACGCTGCTGCTGTAGTCTTGTAATTGGATCTGTCTTATCATGTTTAAACACGCAGTAATCCATCCGCTCATTAATGCAGCAGCAGCCTAATAAATGCAACGTCTAATTTTCTGATCACTGAGGTTTGAGGCACTCTGCGCAGCGACAACGTTTGCTCCTTTTACCTGGATGAAAGTGACACGTAAAAAAAAAACAGATAAAAAATGTTTCTTCATTTTTAACATTAAAATGATGAAAATAATTCTTCCAGAGAGGTGAGATTATAATTATTAGGACAAACATCTGATGGATGTCATGATTTTAATCTGAGTAAAAGCTGTGATGCAGTCAGCAGCATCTCATGTTTCCATAACAACTCATGAAAACATCAAGAGGGCGGTGGCTGTGACTCTACGCATTTGTCAGCGTGTTAATAAAAAATATTCCACCAAGAGATATTCATTAAATGTATGTTTTCTCAGTTTTGTTGATGTTCTACTGCGGAACACCCCAAGAGACGATGCAGATGTTCTTACAGATGCTCTGGTAGCTATAAAAACAAGTCAGGGGACAAAATATCAGATTTTCTTCACGAGGCTTGTCACACTCCTTTGAAAAGAAGATTATTTTCCTAATTTACTCGAATGTGTTTTTGTGGCGTGTCGACAGCGATCAGAAAATATCATGACCTGGAAGGACTGATGGTAAAATCTGTCCCAGGGAAGCGCTTCCTCATGTCCACAAACTCAGCTGGTGTCAGAATAATAACTAGTTACATGAAACAGATTTTTGTTATCTGGGTTTAGACTGATGGCCTCTTCACAGCAGGGGATTAAAAACACTGTGACTGTGTGCAATTAGTTAAAGCGTGATTTGCGAAATTAGCGGTTAAAAGGAGGTGAGTAATCAAAGACTAAGTGATGATCAAGTGGAGCGCTGAGGGTACTTGTTTGAGTCATGTATTAGCTTTAGAGCACTTAATGTGATTTTTTTCCCCATCATCAATTCATAAAAATGGGCATTATAACCAAATCAACAGCAGATGTTTTTTTTATTTGATGTTTGCATTAAAGCAGTAAACAGTTATTTACATCCATACCACAGTAAATTTATCTTAGGTAATTCATGTCCCTTTTTTGTGCACAGATCTGCTGTTGCACGTTTAGGCCTGGTTGACCTCTGGACTAGGCTGGAAAGTGACCCCGCCCCCGCGGGCATCTCTGGTGACAGGGTTTAAACATGCATGTCAGGAGCCGCCTTGGACAGCTGGAGACCGGCCGCTGACAGCTTATCTATATTTCAAACAGAATGAGTGGACACGCACAGAGAGGGATGGCGTGTGTGTGTGTGTGTGTGTGTGTGTGTGTGCTGGAGGGGGTGCCTAACAAGTACTAGATTGGATGTGACTCTTTCCTGTGGAACCAGATGTTTGGCAGCTGGCTGGAGGTGTCTCCGGGTTGCCAGGCGGACATCAGCAGGTTGGAGAGTGAGGAGCAGGTGGGAGTGAGCCTATTTTGAAGGGGGGGGGGGTTGTAAGTGTTTGAAAAATT